TTCGATCCGGTTTCTCAATATTGTGGGCTCTGCCCTGCGGTTCCACTACGGAATGCGAGTGTGAGCTGCATTTCAAGGAGGACAGAACCGCTCGCATCGTGTGCGAGCGCTGAGCGAGGCGGCAGAGCGGGCTGCGGCTGTGTTTGATCCGCTACGAGCAGGCAGACACACAGGCACGGTAGGCAGGCAGAGATACCCGGGGATAAGTTGCACAGACGGGAGGATGCACAGATGTTTAAATAGATTAATCAAGCCAGGATTTGCAAAATCCTCGATGGAAACACCAAAGCGCTCCGCTGGTATCCCACCACTTGCCTTAATTATGCCCGTCATTTGGCCCTCTGCAATTGGAGCCTCCGCAGAGAGCAAAAATGACTCCTTTAAAACAAAATGCAAGCTGAATGCAGTACATGTTAAACCTATCTGGACTCTCCGAGCTGCCATGTTAAACAAGAGATGCAGAGTTCTAAAACACCCCTCAGGAACCACTGCAGAAGCTGCCACAACCTGAAGAACTAATCCACTCTGACGTACACGGAGGTGAATGTCCGGAATACCGTGTCCTATGTGCAAACCCCTGGCTGTAGATTCTCATGATAACCAAGTATCCATTTAATATCACATGCATGCAATACTATTTGTGGAACTTGAAACACAGTGGTTCTTTCCTTTCAAGTGGTTTTCCATTTCAACCAGAAAAAAAAAAGAGTATTTAGAACTGGTAATACCTCTATAAAGGAATTACTTTCGAACAAACTTAGTGCCTTCTCTACAAATGGATTTCAGTGGGATGTATCAAATTTCCATCTCTTTTTGAGGCTTTCTCCCCACCACTTCAAATGAGCTATCTCTCAGCTGGAACTCAAAATATAATAGAAAACACCACTACCTAACAGATTGAGGCAAAGAAACAAGAAAACAACACATCCACTTGGAACTACCGTTAAAAAAACCCTGGAAGAGATGTAAAGCACTTACCGAAAACTGGATGCAGCCAAAGCACTTGTCCTAAATAAAGGTCATTTTGGTTTCTAATAACCACTGATCATCACAACTTCTGCATTAGACGCTATTCAAAGGGTAATTAACCAACACCATATTGCCATTGACAGCATGTAGAGGCGCAGCTTTATTTCTGACTCAGGAGGAAGAGTTCCTCTGAGCAATTAAAATACTCTGTCCTCTATTGCCTAGTTTTTCTCTAATAATGTCACATGCACTTACCCCATTTAACTTACCAGATCAAGCAAGATCAGAGCTAGAGGTGGAATGGCAATATATTGGCTTTCATTTTCTACTCAAGTTGCCTTTTTCTTAAAAAAACCCAAGTCTTCCCTTTGCCATGATAAGAAGTACCAAACAGAAAATCCTTCACTGCCTACATTTGTTGTGTAAATGTACATTTTCTTTTTCTCCTTGTGACCACAAATCCTTGCCATTTTGGATTGTGCTAACTCCATTTTTTCTACCCATGAGTCAATAGAGTTGCATGATTCACCCTTGCATGGACATAGTCTCTGGGGAAGTAATTAAGTGCATGCTGATCACTCCTGTACAGAAATCAAATACCGGCGGAGCACCTGTAAATATTTCTTTTGCCTTTCTTGGGTCACATTCCCAGCTAGCTAAAGATTTATGTACAGTATTAGTTAAACAGTTAAAATCCACATAGCCTTGCTTTCTGCCAGCTCACATATGCATGCAGCCACATACACAAGCTGTCCCTGCCACCTACAAATCTTTTTCTCCGTTCTTTATCCCTCTCTCCCTGCCAAGCTCCCACAGTAGGACACAAGTTGGGCCAATTACCAAAAACCAAATACAGAAGAAAAATAGAACAAGAAACAAGAATATTAGCTGGCATTAATTTCTTCAGCATAAATTAAATTCTACTATAACTTGAGGTTTCCTTACTCAGCATTTCTGACACAAATAATTTTCTATACAGGGAAGTGGATAGAAACTGATTGTAGGATTAAGATGGAAAGATCCTGCTAATGAAAGAGAATCAGGTGACATGAGTGAGCATCACACTTTCCCCTAAAGCATTTGTACTGTCCAAGTACACAAAGAAGATGTAATCCATGAAAACAATTTTGTTAAAGAAATGGCATTTGAAGTAAAAGTGCTTGTAAGATTTTTTTCCATTAAAAATGTGATTAATGGAATGCACATTTAGTATTATTTCCATCAGGAAAGAACTCGAGGTGTTGCCCTTCACAGAAACTAGGAAAAAATTGGCCTAAAGTTTATTTCTACACTTTCTTTCCATTTTTGAGAGTAGTACAGCAGGGATTTTCTTAAGAGATTTCAGAGCAGTACTTGGAGGCTTCAGAGAGGACAACAGCCCTTCCCTGTATGGCCTCTGAATCCTGAGCTCTCCTATGGGATATGTTCTGGGCCAGGACTCTAAAGGCAAAGTGTACAGCCCAAACCAATTAAAAGGCTTTCTAATTTTTTGAAGGAGTAAAGCTCTGAAAAGCTTTAAGGCCTTCTGAAGGGGGGGACACACACTTAGCCTTCTTCAAAGTTCAACCCCCACACACACAGCCCAAAGAGGAATATACAAGTGAAAGATCTTTAAAAAAACTTATGAAAGAACTATTATTTTGATACAAAACCGATTAGAACGTTCTTAGTCCCTGCCTGATAGAGCACCCAGCAGATTTAGAGGTAAGGTGGATTAGACACAAGGGCTGAATCTGTGCTTGTAGACTTCCTCTAAGCAGATGACAATAGATTAGACAAATGATCCAATGTATACTCAGCCTTAGGCCAGCTCTAAGGTGGAGATACCAGTTTTCTCTCCCACACAATGCTACAAGGAAAAAAATTGCTCTCCAGTTGCTCTGAGAACAATAGTAATAAGGGCCATAGAAAATACCAAGTCAGAGATTTCTGAAAAACAGCTATTTAAAGCTATAAAGTGTCAAAGATGATTTGTAGGGTGCGTGATGTGAACATGCAACAGCCCATTCTGCGTGTCAGGAATGTTTTGTTCCATGTACCATATAGTAGTCCTTCCCTCTTATCCAGCCTTATATAGAGTATACTGGGCACAACAGCTTCTTCAAAATCCAATATCAGAGCCTGCATCCATCTTCAGAACAGAAATCCCCCGAACAGACTGTGCAGGAGAATGTCTCCTTGATTCAAAGAGGAAGAGTTACTGTCACGCTGTATTTAACAGCTGGAAAGCCACAGAGTGAAAACAGACAGGAGCATGCAATAACTCTGCACTGAACTATTTTTATAACTTATAAAATTATTGGTAAGGCTCTTTTAAGCACTCTCAGTACTTTTTAAGTGATGGAGGGTTTTCATTGGGCCTACTGCATCGGTTATCTGTCTATCTAATTGCAGTAGATTATGTTCACACTACTTTGGCACTAATGCTTTCTACTATAAAATAAAAAGGTAAATTATTCAAAAGCCAGGAAAAAAATGTATTTTATCCCAGAAATAGTACTAATGCTCACAATACAAAAGCAATTCCTTCCAGGGCCAGCTCAGAGAAACCACGCCAGAGATCTTTATTACTTTGCTGAAATGTACCTTTTTTTCCCCATGTATTTAAGATTTTGCACTTCCACCAACAAACAGAGAAGGCTTCCCATAAGAATCAGCACTTTCTTGAATTGAAAACTATGGAATTCTTTTTTTCCATTGATTTAAATAAATGGGATCTAAACACAGTGCAATCTTTATATGAAGTCTGAGCCTCCTTTTTTTTTTTTTAAATGTCAATAATTCTGGTTTCTATCTAGTGTCTGTTTTCTTCAGAGCATTCCAGCCTTAAGCAATAGCCTGATCAGTCCTGGGTACACTAAAAGAATCACTGTGCATGAACAACATAATACTCTTAACAACTTCTGTCATTTCTGTCAAGACTGCAAGGTTGGTCCATACACAGTATAATAGAAAGAGAAAAATCTGCCAGTGTTGCATGACTGCAGTGTTACTTTTTAAACTGAAATACTGATGATAACAATTTTTTCTCATACTTCAGTTCTGCTCTGTTTAAAATTTTTGATCCTTCTGAATTACATATCATCTAAAACCACAAGTATCATCCTCTACAAGTGAAATTCCTATTTGTTAACGGGAAAAATACCTGTTCACATCTATGAGTATGGATTTATAAAAATGTTCTTTATTTGACTTGTCTTTGTAGCTTCATTTTAATTAAAATTAAAGCAATTGATAGTCGTATGTAAAGGTATTCAAAGTGTGGTCAGGAAACTGCAGACCCTTCAAAACGATCCACTAACTAGAACATCGGAGATTTTCTCAAGATAAATAAAATCTGGGATGGAAGGGAAAGGGAAGGTTGATGATCAGAATTTCTAGGTGATTTCATTTTTTAAAATCTTGAATAGTGACATATGAACAGGAACTTCTGAAATTTTAGACAGTGAAAAAGATTGATTTTCAGAGTTGACTTGGAAAACTTAGGTGTATTTTTCACATTCAAATTAACAGGAGTGGTCACTTG